AATTAAATATAATCAGCTCAAAATTTCCTCAACAAATTTTCAACTGTATCAATGATCAATGATTGATTACGGAATCGACAACTATATATCTATGTTAACGTTGGTCCAACTTTTAACGGCAACTGATACACCGCATCACTGATCGAGGCTCTCGTAGGTTTGTCTACAATTAAACAAATAATCAACCGAAATGGCATTGGCAGGTCACTTCATTTGGATATAAATTTGATTTGATTAATTAATCTTATTAAAAATAAAAGAGTACAATAAAGAAAAAAAACCTATTAAAAACATTTCTGAATTTAGTTCTCAGTAAACTGTAAAAGAAACGAAATGCAGTTGTTCAATTAATTAATTGTTATGAACTAACCAAAATTACCAAAAATTATGATCTTTGAATCAACAAAAATTATTCGACAAGTTATCAGCAGAAAACAGCAGCAATGTTCAGTTGGTTTTGACTTCACTTTCTGGCAATCAGACAGGTTTTTCTGCTCAATACAAAAGTATAGGAGATGCATAAGCACAAATCATTCAGATGTATTCCAGTCACTTCAATAAATTATAAATTTGACTACTGCAAAAAATCATCTTTTCTATCAAATATTCTGTTTAAAAATGACACATATATGAATATTCAGCTATGATACTATTCATCTACCAAAAAGACCGAAAAAAATTGTTCATCAAATTTTTTTATTACTCACAATAGTAGCCGATAAACCTCAGAACCATCAACGTATTAACTTAAAGAGGTGAAAACCGGTGAATTTTGCTTTCAGTATCTGCCAATAATAAAGCCATCAATGAAACAGTAAAAAATTGATCTTTGACTGCAATTATTAACTAATTTCTTCTCTAAGAAGAATTGAAAAAAAGTAGCTATTGAATAAAGTTTCCTGTGGTTACATCTTCCACAAATATAGAAACAATACAGTTACAAATTTGGTTTTTTGCTGCAATTTTTTAAAGTTATAAAAAAATTAAAAGACGAGAAAAAGTATGGCATTTGTTGCTTAGATTCAATATTTTGCAATAACCGATTCAATTGTTTTAATTTTATTTCAATCCAATGGTGCAAAAAAACTACTGTATGATAATCAGCTTTGAACTTTTAGTTAAAAGAATATGTATGTTCTTTTTTTTTTTTTTAATGCTAAATCTTTTTTTGATTATTCATTTCAAAACGAATATTGCATTGAGAAAACTTTGTTTTATTAGTTGTCAACTGAATTTGCAATATACATTTGTAAAACATTAATTTTTTGACTTTAAAAGGAAATTGTATTTTGCGCTGCTTAATTGGCAGATTAGTCATTAAAAGCTTAAAATCAATAACATAAAATTAAATTTCTAAATTTTTTTTTGCAGTTTTAATTAACTTAAATTAATTGCTTTAAAATAAAATCAGGCTCTTTAAAGATGAAAAAAATGTTGAAGAAAAAAATCTTTTTTTTTTTTTTTTTTTTTTTTTTTTTT